AGATATGAGACCAGACTGGAGAATTGTCTGTATGCATATGAAATTTATATTTATGCTTGTGTTTGGTTCAACTCTGTCTTCAACCACAGAGTAAAAGTGCAACTACCTGGGTTAACTAGGTTATCTGGGGAGTTTACTCTTCCCTTTTCCTCCTCCCCTGTCCCTCATTCCTACCTTCCTCTACTCTCCTCTTCTTCTCTTCTCTTTGTTTTTCTCTTTCTCTTTCTCTTTTCCTCCTCTCCTCTTCCCCTCTCCCCTCCTTTTCTAGTGAGTTGGCTGGGCAGCGGGTAGGAGGGTGGAAATGTGCAATGTGGTCCTCCCACGACTGAACCGACACCGGAAGTGCAGCTGCCCAACCTCAACCACATGACCCGACCCAGGGCTCAGAGCCATCCCCATCAGAGTTGGATGTACTCTTTGGGTTGTGGTAACGGGTCTTTCCTTAGAGAGGTCCTATAAATATGTTGCCAATGAGAGATTCACCTCCTCTTCCTATTAGCACATTCTCATGGGTCAGACAGACCAGCCAAGGGAGGAGGACAGGGCACTCAGGGTGGTGAGTGGTGGGTCTCTGGCCTGGGAGGCTCCTGGGAAAGCCTCCCAGCCTTTCCAGGGGGAAAACAAAGACCACGGGGCTGGCCTTTGGGGAGCAGTCTAAAGCCAAATTTTGTACAATTTTGGCTTGAACTGGTCCTTCCCTGTTATTTACTTTTTGTCTTAAGAGAACATTGAGGTGAATGGTTGGAAAAAGCTTTGGAAGATTTAGAAAATCTTCCAAAAGATTTTCTATAGTTTTAGTTTACCCAAAGCCCAGCTGCAGAGATGCAAATTGTGATGAGTCTTGTGGAACTGACGGTTGGGTTTGTGGTTCTGACAGAAGAAGGTGCCAGCTGGTTTTTCTACCAGAAGGAAAAGCTCCCAAATCACGGGCCATGAGAGCATCCCGTAAACAATAAGGAGCTGTGTTTACTATAAATTACAGGTTTTCCACATGACATTGCCTCACTCGTCAGCATGTAGCTGAAGGTGAAGGGGATCCGACGAGCTAACGTATCAAGAACCTATATAGGACTGGACCCGAGGGAGGGTTCTGATGGTCACCCATTCCCTTGTTGTGAAATTTGGCATGTTCTATGGGCTAGGACTGTGCTCAATGCTGGAAGACATTCGTGAGCATGGCAGACAAGCTCCCTGTCCCATGGGACCTTTGTGATCATTATTTTTTTTTTAATGTTCTGATTATTATTTTTTATGTTTCTTGAGAGTAAAAGTTTCTTAAAGCAGAAACAATGAGGAGTGGATAGGAAGAGGCAAAATACTCCAGAAACTCCAAAGGACCTGGATCAAAACAAAGAACAAAATTAAAATATTTTTAAAGCCTTATAGTATTTCCAAGAGTGAGAAGAGGACTGCCAATGTTAGGATTTGGGTTTGGGATTTGGCAGCTTTCATATAATAGTTGGATTAAAATGAGAAGTGTGATGCCAGATTAACTCACAATTTTAAAACGCTGTGCATGCTTTTAAGGTCAAGTCTTTGTTTTCACCTCCAGAGTGTAACTGTGTCTCCTGGCTCCCTGGACAACCCTGTGGCCCTAGAAACCAGTGTCTGTGTCACTCATATTATGCCACGGAGCTGCTGCCACTATGCTCAGGCAGCTACCCTGACTGCCTTCATGAGTGTTTTTCTCTCTGCAGTCACTTTCTCTTAGGGCAGAAACAGTAGAACGAGCTTGGATTAGCCAGGATTCTCCAGAGAAACAGAACCAATACGGTGTGTGTGTGTGTGTGTGTGTGTGTGTGTGTGTGTGTCTGTGTATAAAGAGAGATTTATTTTAAAGAATTGGCTCATGCAATTGTGAAGTCTGGCCACTCTGAAATCTGCAGGGTGGGCTAGCAGGCTGGAGACCCAGGGAGAGTTGATTCTGCAGCTCACGTCTGAAGACAGTCTGGAGGCAGAATTCCTCCTTTTTCTTTAGGGGATTTTGGTCTTTTTCTCTTAAGGCCTTCAACTGATTGGGTGAGAACCACCCACACGTTGGAGGGATGTCTACTTTACTCAAAGTCGACTAATTTCAATATTAATCTCATCTAAAAAATACCTTCACAGCAACTTCTAGTCTGGTGTTTGGCCAAACATCTGGGCACCATAGGCCTAGCCAAGCTGACATAAAATTAACCACCACAGAGCCCAGGATCATTTCCTCAGAAATCTGCCACTAGCTAGGGATTGACTGAATCTCTGCAAACAGGCCTGGTGGGGGCATGAGAGAAGACTGACGGAGATAGCAGTCAGAGATCTGAGTCTTGTTCCACTGTCTGCCAACAGCTGGGGGTGGCATTAGGCACATTTCTTATGTTTAGTTTCTTGTGGAGTGGGGTGCTTTGTATTATGTCAGTAATTCTCTAGCCCATCTTCTGAATTTTTAGCTCTTTGAGATCAGGGAATACAACTATCCCTCACTAACTGTGGGGAATTGGTTCCAGGACCCCTCTTGGATACCAAAATCCATAGTCCCTGGTATAAAATGGTGCAGTATTTGCACATAACCTACACATATCCTCCCACATATTTTAAGTCATCTCTAGATTACTTATAATACCTAATACAATGTGAATGCTATGTAAATAGTTGTTTGTTATACTGTATTATTTTTTATTGTTGTAGTGGTATTTTTTTATTGTGGTTTTTTTCCTGAATGTTTTTGATCTGTGGTTGGTTGAATCCACGGATGTGGAACCCACAGATATGGAGGGCTGACTGTGTGTGTTTTCTGTATTTCCCTCCACAACGCCTATCTGTGGTGCCGTTGAACACAGTAGACCTTCAGTCAGTGCTGGGTGGATGAATGGAAAACAGGAGAGTGGAATGGTGGCAAATTTTCTGGGTCTGCCACTAATTGTGTCCCTCTGAATAAGTCACATAGCCTGTTGAAGTCCCAGGTAATTTGTAAATGAGAAAACTAACCCAGTTCCCTTTCATCAGTGAGAGTTTTTTATGTTTCCAATGACAACTCTGGAAAATCTATCGTTTGTTATCATCATTTCTAAAAAGCACTTCCAAGTGACTTGCCGCACCTGGGACTGGGCTAAGTCCTCTCCAAGAGAATGGAAACTGCATGGTCTCGCTGGGGCTCCGTGCTCCAAGGCTTAGTTGTGGGGCTTTACAGACCCCAAGGCCACCTGTAAATAACTCACTGGAATTGGGACTTTACCTTGAGAGTCTTTTCTTTTCCAAGACCCCAACTTTTTGAAACCTTGCAAACAGGGTTGTATTTTTTTTTTTTTTACTGTGTATACGCTGGATATAAATTTGGAAGTCAGAAATACTAATTTATTGAATTTATTGATTGTCATTAATTCAATATGGGACAATGTGAAGAGCACCTCTCCAAGCACTGGGGACTTGGATAATTAGAATAACAATGTCAATGAGAGCGAGCACTTACTGAGCACTTCCTCTATGCCAGACATTGTGCTCAGTACCTATTGCTGGTGATTCTCTGATGACCTCATGACCAAATGACCTATCCTCAACTCCAGTTTACAGGAAAGGAAACCAAGGCTTAAAGAGGCTAAGCAACTAGCCCATGATGGCATGGCTATTAAGTGGCACAGCTGGTGTTTGAATCCAGATGTGTCTGACCCCAAAGACAGAAGCCCTTTGCTACAGACTAATTCCGTGACTTTGGAAATGCCACTTAACTTCTGAGCTTCACCATGTAATGGTGGAATTCAATGAGACAATCTCTCTGGTTGCTTCCAGTTTGTAAGATGTAAAACCCTTCAGTTGAAGAAGTCAGTCTGCTCATTTCCACTGCTCTCCCCTCCCCAGAAGCAGAATCCTTGCAGGGTAAATGGGGGTGACTCTGAGCAACTCCAGCCCTGTAGGGGTTTAGTTGCAGAGACTGGTAAGAACCTGACCCAGTGGGAAGAGGGAGCCAAGAGGGCAATGGCCAGAGTCTCTTCTGTCCATCCACGCATGTTTATTCATCCACTTAGCCGAAGTAGATGTGCTGCCTTTCCCATCAATTCCCAATGCTGCCTGCATAACTTTCCATGACTATTCTACTACACTAGACCTTAGAAAATCGGTATGAAGAAAGGAGGTCAGAGAAGAGCGGGAACAGTTGCAGGCTGATGTGGACTGGAATGGTTTGCACCTGATCCCCAGGGGGATGTGGAATTAAAGTGGCCTCTCCAGTGAGTCACGTCCCCCATCAGCTGCTCCCTCCACCCTCCTTTTACAAGTGCCAGTTACTGTGTGTGAGAAGCGTCCCCAAAGCCCTCACGTACCTGCCAGTCTTGCTGAATATGAAATTAATGACAGCAATAAAAACTAAGCTAGGCTGCGCGTGGTGGCTCACGCCTGTAATCCTAGCACTCTGGAAGGCCGAGGTGGGTGGATTGTTTGAGCTCAGGAGTTTGAGACCAGCCTGAGCAAGAGTGAGACCCCATCTTTACTAAAAAAAAATAGAAAGAAATTATATGGACAACTAAAAATATATAGAGAAATTAGCCGGGCATGGTGGCGCATGCCTGTAGTCCCAGCTACTCGGGAGGCTGAGGCAGGAGGATCGCTTGAGCCCAGGAGTTTGAGGTTGCTGTGAGCTAGGCTGACGCCACGGCACTCACTCTAGCCCGGGCAAAAGAGTGAGACTCTGTCTCAAAAACAAACAGACAAACAAAAAAAAAACCAAAAAACTAAGCTAGCAGCTATCGAGTGCTTGCTATGATAGGCATTGCCCCCAGCTCCTTTGTTAAGTATTACGTAACCCTCACAACAATCTTGTCAAGTAGATGCTAGTGTCACTCCCATGTAAGGATGGGGACACTGAGGCTTAGAGCAGTTGAGTGACTTGTTTCAGGATCCAGCTCCCATAAGAGGTGGAGCTGGCACTTGATCTTGGGTCTCTCTGGCTCCACCTCTCTGCTCTGAGCCAGGACGCGATTCTGCCGCTGCCCTGCCCCCCTGGGTCTGACTGAGTTCTTTCCATGCAGCCTGCTGGTGTTCAGCCCTGGGGTCCTACCAGACACCCTGCAGCCCCGTGACTGGACAGTGTGAATGCCGGCCAGGGATTACAGGACAGCGGTGTGACAGGTGCCTCTCGGGAGCTTATGATTTCCCCCACTGCCAAGGTAGGGAAGCCAGCAGCATGCTGGAGGGTGGGTCCTCTCTGAGGTGTGTGCAGACAGCCTCCCAGGGAAGCCTGCAATGCCCTGCAGCACCACCACTGGTACTTCGACATGTTTGACCCAATCTGTCTTGTTCCTCTGTAGTTTGAGTCAGTTGAAGACACATATATCAGATGTGCATCCTCAAAGGAATCAAGAAATGATTCGTTCCTAACTTCAAAAAATTTAAATTCCCATGTCTTATAAATTTGGGTTTCTTGGTTCACATGTCAAATTTCTGGGGACAGCAGTGTGGCAAAGGTGACTCCTTTAAGCTAAACAGAGCATTTGTGTCCCCTGTCCTAAGGCATCGTACCTTCTCTCCTTATTGGCTTGCGGTGCTGCTGTTGGCTGTGCCGTAATCTTCCTCACAGGTGCCCTTGTGGGCAGGCTGAGTGGGACCTTTGCTATGTTTCTGTCCCACTCTCCCTGCCTGCCTCTGGCCCCCTGGGGGACTGTCTTCACACTTCAACCCAGGTGTTAGGGGGAGGGGAGTGGGGTGCATGGGAGTCTTTGCTGTTTAGAGAGAGTGAGCCAAGGAGGAGGGAGATGGAAACCAAACCTGTGGCTGTGGGATATTGTTGGTATTCAGCCCTCCATTGATGTGAGAGATTGAGAGTCGGCCATGTTCTGGGGCAGAGGGGACAAAAATGAGATGCCTGCAAATCTCCCTGAGCTTCCTGGTGTGGGCAGCCTCCAAGGCGCAGGCTAGTAGCTCCTGACTATTGATTTCAGTGAACTCTTGCTCTGTTGGAAAGTATTAGTCCATCAGGAGAATGTGGTTTTCTCACACCAGCCTGTCCAGCCTGACATCCAGAGCTGGCTGCAGGCAAGACTGCAAGCAGACTTCATTTCCCAGAACCTTACTAACCAGAATCCTCAAGAGACCAGGTTTTCTTGAGGATGGAAATTGCAGCCAGCAGTCAGAGGGGACTGCTTGCCTTTGAGAAGGCCTGAAGGTCCCTGGCGTTCGAGGGCATCCCAGGGTGGGTCTGCTACCTCCATGCACCTCAGGAGCCAAAGGAAGCATGTGACTGCCGGGCAGAGAGGCTGAGAGCCATGGCCATGTCAGGGCTATATGGCCACGTTTGTGTCCTGGGAAGGAACCCTAGGCTGGGCATGGCCAGGCTGGAAAACAAAGATGGGAGAGTTAAGTTTAGTATTACAGAAAAATATGGGGGACAGAAGAATATCAGAGAGAGAGAGAGAAAGAGAGAGAGAGAGAGAGAGAGGTTAAGGGGATACTGAAGCCAACAGAAACAAAGGCAAAAAGGCTAACTAACAATTTGTAAGGAAACACAATCTTCTCATGGATTTATTTAAATGATTTGAAAAACCAGGCTCGGAATGGACTTACCTAACCTTTTTCAGTTCGAATGCTGTATAATAGTAATACTGAAACACTGTAAGATCGCAATTTATTGAAGAGAGAGTATATTAGGCTTGTAGTGCTATACTAAATCAAGACAGAAAACTAATTGGTTTTATAAATAACTTTAGTACAGGTGGGAACAAGGGGGTTGTGATAATTAAAGAATTAACTCTTGGTTAATCAAAAACTGTTCTTGCAAATTGTGTAACTTCTTTTTAATGGACAATTAAAAATCTCTTGGTACCATATTGCCCTCTTCTGGACAATACTAAAGATGCTCAAAATTTTAGAACCTCCTTTTCCTAATCTCTCCATCATCAATTAGAAATGAATTTTTATTAGTAGGCGGGGTAGAGAATTGTAGCAAAAGAGGTGATTTGGGGATTAAGGACCGTAAATGTTATTTGGGATTTGATTGCACACAAAGTCT